ACGCCACCTACCCGCCACGTTTTACGCGTATTAAACGGAATGGCAATAAATTAATGTTAATACAATAACGGTATAACGGTATTGTACTTTAAAATTGATACCGCGAATTCTGTATAGGTAGGTATTATTGTTTTTTATTCGAAGTTAAAATACTATACCGCGTGATTCAATCTTTTGACTGTCGGGTATTGTACAAAAATCGAATTTAAAAATATCGTTACTTTCTGTTTCTCTATTGGGTATACGTTCTTTATATACGGACTAGAACATTTAATGAAATATAATATCGAATTATTGGGTTTCGCCGAAATGTAATACCGAAATAACAAAAAATATATACGAGAGTATCTCTAATATTTGTGATCATCATTATAGTTTGTAATAGTTATTGTTTATAAACATTAGGTGTGATAGATAATTTTTTTTTTTTTTTAAACTATATGGAAGCCGAATACCATTAGGTATTAAAACGGGGATACAAGTACGTATTTGTTGAGTGTTTTATTATTTTTTTAAAGTAAAAAATGGTATTTTAATAGTACAGTTAAATCCAGAACCGCTACAGTTTTGGTCCCTAAAATATTAATTTAAACAACTGTTGTTATTATACAATTTTGATCCTTTGCCAATTTACGATAAAATAACAAAGCATATTATTCGGCGGTACCTGTTGGTTCATATATGGTTTGTTTAAATCCTAACAATTTGCCATATTATAATGTTTAATATTGTGTCAAAAAGTGATGAAAACGTAAACGGAAATGATTTTATTTCTCGAGTTGGTTTTGTTGTTCTTCGACTCGACAAAACTTTTCTTGGCATACTATGTAAATCATTGTTAGTGTACGCAAAAAAACACCCTCGAACATTAAGCATAACATAATAATTATTATTTATATTAAGTTGGCGTTGCACTTCTTGTAAATCCGTGGAAAATACATGGGCTGTTGTAAATTAATTAGTTCACAAACAGTAGTAGGCACTGCACTATAAAAAATAATAGGTAGGTATACAGTATAATATTATGCTGTACATTATTGTACATTCTTCGCAAAATTTCTTAGCATAAAATCTCATAAAAAAAAAAAAAAGAGTACTATTATACTATACCTTTTGTGATATACGAGACTTAAATTTAAATTTATGTGACTGCCATAAAATAAAAAAAGTAACGTGAGTGAAATATTTAGGCCTAATTATTGATTAGAATCTTAGGTGAAAAATACATATCGATAATCTGGTTCCGAGATTAAGATCTATTATCTTCAAACTCTTCAAACTAAAACTAAATTCTTATCTACGGACATTTTTTATATTTTATATAATACTCTTTACAAGTCGATCTTTCAATACGGTCTTTTTGTATGGGTTGGTTGTTCTGATAATGCTATTAAACCACTTGAAACTCAACAAAACCAAGCTACAAGGATATATCTAAAAAAAACAAGGATTTATATGACTCGACTTCATTAAATTATAAAGAACTTAAAGTTCTACCGGTCAGGTGTTTTCCATTATATTTCAAATTGGTAAAATTACTACTAAATAAGACAACAAACGAGAAACTGGAGCTTATGACACGCATGTTAATTACACAAAAAAAAAATATAGGAAACAAGTTTGTAGATTATTTAGGTCCGAAAATGTATAAACCTATGACACTGGATCTGAAAAAATGTATTTATAACGCTGTTAATGTTAATAACTATGGATTAAGGAAAAAAACTATTGTTCACTGGTTATTATTTGAACATTAGTTGTATACCTTAATCTGAGATGAGTATCTTTAATATTGTAATTTTTTTTTTTTTTATCATAAATATTGTGATTAAATGTTTGTTGTTAATAAGTTATATTGTATATGATTACTCAGATGTAACTCATTTACCTCGCCACAAGCATTGCTTATTGAGGTAAATTAAATAACAATACTTTGTAATTCATTGTGATATTATTTTAAATAAAAAAAAAAAAAAAACCTGTAGAGTACCCATAAGTAATAGAATAATTATTTTTCACCAAATCTTATTGTGTACTATTAAGTCATACTTTAAATTTACATGCAATTAGAAAAAATCGGTAAATTAATATTTTGTTAGAATTTCATATCCTATGATAAGAAGTGTGCATCTCTACGTATACAGAGTTTGAAGTAGCACTCTATACAAATGTGTACGCAACTGACGGCATGGTTCATGAAATTATAATAATTAATACATTTTACGGTAAACGGATTTGAAAGGTTAACAAATTGGGAAAACATTTACTTACCAAACAAATACATAGGTACCTAATTTTATATATAGTGAGAGAAAAAGAGAGAGAAGATAAAACAATAAAATATTATAAATCCAGTCTTAGCTTGAACCTCATGAATAAAGGGTTAGTAAATTCGATGACAAATATACAGAATTAAGGTAGTATAAAACGACGCACCAGAGACGAGATGGGTATTGTTGATTTTAAAGTAGTGAATACATAATATGTATTACATATTACATATGGCTTTAGGTTTAGTATATAAATAACAAAATTAAACAAAAGACGGAAAAACCGTACCATGTCATATTAGATTTTATTACAAGATTCAAAAGTACAGAATCGTGTGTAGAAAACATAGATGGTAAGAATTATACCTCTGTTCTGTATACGGCGTGGCATCCGAACGAGTTATTATAGTCTATCCGCGAGGTTGGCAAATACGTTCGAGTTATCGAATAACGGCAATAATGGATACGATATGTTTATTTTATGCCTAAAAACAATATTTTTAAGTGAGAAGCTGTCCCGAATGACGAGTAGATACGGGATATTATTAATATGTAGATATGGGAGGTTTGAGATATAATATATGGTGGTAAGTATAGACTTATCACAAAGCCCCGGAAGAAACGTGACACAAAGTTATATGATTTGGGAGAGATAAAAAATATATTTTCGACGGGAAAAAATAATGACGAGCGGAGGGGAAAAGACAATAATTGTTATATATTTTAGTTTGAAGACTAGATATGGTCGTATCGAATAGAATACTATAGATTTTATTAAAATATATTAAGATTAAGTGTAATACAAAAAACTTTGACAAAATCAGATCCATAAAAATCAATTATGTCTGTTTTCAAATTTTTTCCGATAATTTATTTTCTTAACATAAAAGGTGTTCAATGACATTTTTTAAACCTTTCTCTTAATGAAAATAAAGTTAAATCTAAAATTTCATGTAAAAGAGTATGCTTTTCTACCTCCAGTAAAATATTTTGGGTTTTTTTTTTCACGATTATTTTGATCTTTTTAAGTAAAATTAAACAGATTTTAAATCTGCTTTGTTCCAAATATTATCAAAGTCCTTTTGTTGTTCTTGGATAGAGACTGTAACATTTTAGATCTTAAATTGAAATCTTAATGACAAAGTTTGTAATTGTGCGTTAAAAATTTATATTCTGCCAAAAATTGCAAACATAGCATTTGATTAAAATTAAAATCAAACTTTATTATTTTTTTAATTAAGTTCTTTTTCATTTATTTTGATAATAACAAAAAAATGGCCCAACTAACGTTTTTCGTAGAAGGCAGAGCCCCAACTACTATTTCATGGGTGCTTCAGCCCTAAAGCCACCGTGTACTTGGTACCTATGAGTATATTATTAAGTATAATACGAAACGTTTAAATTTCAATGCCGGTTTCACTTAGAATGCATTTTTTTTTCGTTACTAATTTACTTTTAATTATATCATTTATTAATAAGCATTTCATAATTTAACCTAGTATGCAGGTGAGCGAATCGAAATTAAAAATTTAATCTCTTCACTGAATCCCACTTTTTTTTTTAAATTAGAAAATATTTAAATTGAGTGTGAACATATAATTAAAATAAATTTGAATTATCTGGAATATGATGAACATTCGTAACTTGATTAACAACAACTTAAATTAATAAGAGCGTCTGTTTCGATAACATATTTCGAGCAGCAATTAGAGATTTAAAATGTTCACAGAATGCTCATACAATCCTGTTGTAGATGTGACAAAATTTGTATAACATTCTGACTATGTTTTAAGTGTTTTTTGGCATTTAAAATTTTCGAGTGTTTTCAGTTATTATTTGGTTTTATGAAAATAAAATTGTTTTGGCCGAACAAAAATAAATACTTGAAAGTTGAACACAAGGTTCATTAAAAGTTGTATTTGATGGTAAAAAAAAAAAAGTTGCGTGCAATGCAGTCAGTATTTTAAGATCAAATTTTAACAAAATCCTAAAAATCATGGACGTTTCAAAACATGTTCAACCGAACTTCGCTCAGAAGCGTATTTCATTAGCAACGATTTATCTTTGCTTGTACAAATATAAATTAAAAAACTCTATATATCCTACTCAAATACCTACCTTTAACAACCATCAGCAACATCACCTCTTTATTTTTGTTCGCACTGGCAAAGGATCAAAATGCGATGGTAATAATTTTGTGCATAACTTATGACCGGGTTAATGAACGATGAATTCGAAATGTGTAATTTAGACGAATCGTAAAATTAATAATTAAGTTTAATGCACGCACACACACACACATATATATAGAGAGAGAGAAAGAGAGAATTTGAGGGATTTATATAGGGATCCCTTATATATTTTGTTTTTACTATTCTGTGTATTGAGCATTTGGAATAATCTACGTTTCCCTAAATCCCTGCGTATTTCGTACGAGCGTATCCTAACGTCGAAATTCAACTACCCAGAATACTCCATTATCCGACGAAATAAGAGTATATTGTATAAATATGAATTCTGTGCTTGTGTTGAATAATTACACTTACACATATTTGTCTTGTGAACGGAGCTTGGAACTTCATCAATTCGTCCCAAAATATACCTAAATATACCTATTATAATGAACGTTGTATGATTTTTGTTAACAAATGTTGCATCTTTTCGTTCTTTATAAACTTTTATAGCCCATTCAGAGAGCCTCCATTGCTTTAACCAACACGCTATGTCTCCTTAAATTCGTACTCTCTTCAATCCTCCTTGCGCACATTTCTCAAGAACTTTACGTTCTTCAGTGCAGTCAACCGCCTTTGCCTGTGGTGATATCTTGATATTCTTCGACTTATTATTCAAATCACTTCTAGAGTTTACATGTCTCTGCAGTATCAGTTCGTGCACGACCCGCTCATTCCACATTTTGTCTTTATATGACCGGTATACTTCCTCGTTTGTTATTCTAGTTCGGTATTTGCCATTTTCTACAATAAAACAATATATACGTATGTTCCATTCAAAAATCATTAACTATTCACATCATCGCCTTTTGTCATCAAGTATTGACCATGTTTCACACCCACACGACATGTCGTAGGCAGGTCGCGTTTTTTGTTGATCAATAAAAAAAAAAAAAAACAATTATTCTGTATAGTACATTTTACATTTTTTTAAATTTGTTTTTTTTTTCCTAAACAATATCGCCGATCCCGTCAATAGAAAATATTCCCTTTGATTTTTTTTTCGACAGATTTTATTATTTAAACTTTGCTGCGGTAAAAATGCATGCGTCAAAAGAAATAAATATTTATTTCGACGGCGGCTGCAGTAGCGACGGCGACGGCTCCGTTTATATTAAGTATATAATATTATATGGTAAAATAACATATGGCCCCCGCCAGTCACATGTTTTACGCGCTAAGAATCACACGGTGAGTGGAGATGAGTGTATAACGTATGCACAGAGAAAAAGAGCTGAGTCGTCGAGTCGGAGAGGACGGTGAAAATAGGGGAAGGAGAAGGGGGGGGGAGAAAAAAAATGTAAAATAAAATAATAACGGGGCCGAGAAGTGTTCGCAGTGTCGCCTCGGCGATAACGCCACCGACTCTGTAAACGTTCAACCGTGTTCCAAGTCTCTACGGTATGTGGACGGCTACAATACATGTATCCGGTCGCCCTAAACAACACCGCACCGAGTATGTGTGTATGTATGTGTGTGTGTGTGTGTGTGTGTGTGTGTGCGCGCGCGCGTGTGTATGTGTGTGTATGTAGCTAGCTCGGTTGTCATCGTCGCTTTTAATCTTTTAAATGGGTTTAATATGTAAAGTTCTGTACGACAACAGTGCCGGGGTCGGGCAGCGAAAAAAATATGAAAAAAATATAAAAACTATGACAATATAGGTAAAGGTTATGCAAGTAGTGCTCCGTCGCCGTCGTCGTCGTCGCCGGTGCTCGGCGACATAAATGAAAACGTACACCGGTTAAAATATTGTCACACTGCTGCGGCACCGTACCCGTGTAGAGTACCTGCACAGTATAATATGGTCCTGCGTATCCTATTATTTTCGCGCGCTTGTGCGTATACGGTTTTTGGCGACCGAACGCCGCAGCGAGGGGATATTCCGCCCCGCGGTCGGTACGTCGGATGGCGGGACGGACGCGGAGAAGGAAGAGGCGAAGCTTTTCGTGTGCATGTATGTACAGGTATGTATTCCCTGACTAATTGCCCCGGTGTTTGCCGCGTAAAACCATCGCGCACCGAGGTCTCTGGAGAAATCCGCCCGATATAATATATACGTATATACACATATTGTTGTTAAGTTGGCGGCGGCTAGGAGGTTCTTAATTTTAATAACCAACGACGCGCGGCCCGCCGGTGCAGCCAGAGCTCAACGAATGACCCGCCGCTCGCGACTACACTGCACCGAGTTTCTATTACGCGATTACACGCGGCGACCCCGGAAAACTTTGCGCCTTTGATTAAAATTGCAAACGGTTGTATAATTATTATTATTATTATTATTATTATTATTATATACACATTTCCTCATATTTCGCCCCCTTTGCGTTCAAATTTAATAAGTCTCGTTCGATTAAGCGTCGATTATTCCGCAATAGTTATCAAATAGCCCGCCGCCACAAAGCACACCACTTGGAATTATTTTTTCGATAAACCGTTAATGATTATTATTCGCGGCTTATACATTAGCGTGTGTATAATAAATATGTACAACCCGTCGAGTCGCTAAACAGTATATGCGCGCTCCTGTATCACATAAAGTTTACTGTAATTATAATATTATAGAACGAGGAGTTTGAAAGTTGTAATACGTATATAATATAAGAACAATATAATACATTACGAAAATTAACACACAAAAAAAAAAAAAACCAAATATCTAAATATTAATTTAAGGAGATCGATAATGGTTTGGAAAATGTTCTCCGATTTGTAAAATTTGACCATTTGTTTTTACATTTTCACGGATCGTCTTAATGATACGACTTTTCCACTAATCTACTGTCCGATACCCATTCAAGGAGTACGCGAATTTAAAATTTTAAAACGTAGGAATTTAAATTTGTTTACGTTCTTTACTTGGATACGTTTGTAAAGTTTTTGTCAAATTTAATTATATTTATCACGGGGTAAAGGCAAAATACTTTAAGTACGGTTTAAGAAATTTCTCGAAAATACAATCAAATTTGTTTTTAATTTTCAGTCTAATATAATTCTATTTCTATTTCTGACAAATCCTAGTAAAGAACCCCAAAAAAGCATAATCCGTTTTCAAAATTAAAATCCATCAATCTCGAATCCTTAATCTTTGTCTGCCTTTTAAATTATATCGCCGTCATTTATCCCCAGAAGAAAAATATATCAAATATTCGAAAATTGTTATTATACAAATGTCAAAAATATTGATAATTGACCTATTAAAGTTAAATATACTTATATAATATTATATTAGTGTATAATACATATTTTTGGTTGAAAATTATAAATCTGATATTTGATATTTATTGGTAAAAATATATTTTCATTTCAAACGATACGACTAATTTAAAATTAACGAAATAAACGTTTGAAATTTTTTTTTTAACCTTTGCATTTCGTAGAATGGATTTCTAAAATTTGATATGCTTATATATAAATCGTGAGCCTATAATGATTCATACAATTCTTAAAATGTCCAAATACGACACGTTATACGATATTTTAATCGTTCGAAAAAACATTTGCATCAAAAGATTTCAATATTGTATATAGTATGGGTATAAGTAATAATGGTTTACAAGATTAAAACCTAACCTGTAATCAATATTAACAATACAATCATATTATACTGTATTATAATATAGATTTTTATTGCCTAAATTGTATATTGTATGTTTTAAATTGTTTAGTTGAAAACCTTTTCGTTATTCGTTTTTTCTTCTCTATAAAGTCGTGCTATAACACCACAATCGCTTAAAAAATTCAATATAATGTCACATGATATAATAGTATATTATTACACTATATAATGGGTAATGACAATATAACGTGGTATCGTATACCACAGAATAGGTACTTTCGTAGAAGATGGTTTCAATATATTTCGGAAGATAAGAATTTCATCAATAAAGTACGGAAAGGCGTGCGTATAAGGGAAATAAAACACTTTTCTTCGCGACTCGGGGGGCAGGTAACCCATTTTAACCTCTCCTGTTCAATATAATATGCCATCGATATCATATTTTTAATACAACTATACATCACAATAAACCGTTATCGATAATAATTTTGGTGACGTTAAAATAAAATATATTTATACTATAGATAGATAGGTATGGCAGTATGGCTATATTATGTGACACCATTGTACCATTTGTCCTTGACTTAGTCCAATGTTCATTATATTAAATCGAAAATAGAAAAATTGCCATGTTTACTTTTGTTCAAATTTAACTTCGAAAGTGAAATTGGAAACAAAAATCGATGGTGTAATCTAATCCGTTCGGGTTGATATTATACCTACGGTCCATAACAGTACGTGTGTAACACAAACAGCTGGAATCTGTTCTGTTACGTTATAAAGTGCAGTATACTAAAAGCAATGAAATAATTTTCATTCAATACGTCCGATGTCTATTGTAATAAGATGACACTGATAAATGCGCTATTAAACATTCAGCGAACCGTATTTAATCTCGTTTACGTAAACTTTACGTTATAAACAAGACACGGAATTGGAGCAAATGCGGAAGAACTAATCTTTAGGGGAAACTTTTGCGACTATTGTTCCGAACAAACGGACTATTCGCTTGTGCCATAACACTCAAGAAAAGGAATCCTTAAATAAAGTCATGAAACAACTGTACATTGTAAACCTATCTATCTCAAGTGGGTTAACAGAACGACGGAATGTATTGTGATAATAACAATTAATAGCCGCGCTAATAATACCTTGTATGAAGTGAATTAAAATACCTACATAATTGTATAACCGAATGAAAAATGAAAAAAGGTAACGGTGGAAAAAAAAAATGTTAAATACTTCATCACATTCGAAGTGTTATGTAGTATCACAAGCTCGTACAAGATGGCTTTATGATTTGAGACGGGCAATTGGCATGGGTTTTTTTTCGTTTTGTACATTTTGCATAATGTAGCATAAATAGTAAATGTGTATCTCTAATTCGATAAATTCGAAATTGTAATTTTAAATTTTAAACAATTTTAATCTACAGTTTTATTAATCTAGTCTAGGTATCTATAAACAGTATTTCAATATTTGCTATAAATATGAAATGTGAAACAGGAAACTTTCAAAATAAAATTTGTTTCGCCTTTTTTCGAGTTAGCCAAAGATATATGTACATACCCCGACCCCCTGATACGCATCAGTTGTGTGCAGTTACAAAAAATCCTTAACATAAGGTCTGGACACGTAATGCATATTGTCATAATATTGAATAAATCTAAAAAGATAACTGATTAAAATCGAGTCCAACGTCGTGCAAAATTATCTGTATCGATTTTCATATTTTATTATCGAGTTTTTAAAAAGCCACGCGCAAAACTTTAGTAGAATCGTTTTTTCGACAAAATGTATACACCTACTTAATAATTGTTTATTATACTAATATTAGTTTAACATTAATTTTAAATTGAAAAATAATTTACGCCGAACAATTTTTGATATAACTTAAGAAATGCTCAAACCACTAATAAACAGCATGTTTAAAAATAATAATAATTACAAGTCCAATTTCAATTTAAAACCACAAAAATAAAATATATATTTGTATAAACTAATTAAGAATTTCAAAAAATGTACATTTTATTGTAATGTCCGTACTATTACTCAGAGACCTAGCCCCTAGACAATGTTTATTATATAGGTACAAAGGTACCTGAATAATATATTATGGTTTG